ATGATGATGATGATGATGATGATGATGATGATGATGATGATGATGATGATGATTTTTTTTCCTGACTGCTTGCTCCAGATAAAGCCCGAACGAGGAGAAATTTTGAACATTATTTTGGTTGGCCCAACAGTATTATCCTGCAATCCCCAAAATACCCAAATGCCCAAATCACATATTCTATATAGGCCTACACTTTATTATTTATCGACTTGATGGATGTGGTGAGGTTGCTCAGATATTTTTATGCTATGACTAACAACAGAGCAACCTACATATAATAATGTATGTTTTTTCTAGAACTCCATTTTTAAAAAAATGATTATACGCATGTTTCCACTAGAATTTAATAGACCAATACATGTTTCCACTAGATCTACATATTATTTTATATCGTTACGTTTATGTTTCTAGTAAAACTCGGATTAAACTCCATAAAAGTGACATATTAGACTACCCTACGTATATTTCCACTAGAACTTCATGATAATATACGTGTATATTCCTACAATAATAATATTTTAAAAAACAGGAAATCCTAGTTGTAATCTCATTAACAAAGGTGAAAAGATCAAACAATTCCAACAGTTTAAATATCAAGGATATATTTATGATAACATCTGATGCCAAATGTTCCACAGAACTAAAACGGAGAATTACAATGGCTGAGGGTAGTTTCAATAAAATGAGCCCATTCCTGAGAAATAGAAACATCTCAATGACTACCAAAATGAAAGTTCTGAAATGCTATGTTTGGTCAACCCTTCTATATATGGATGTGAATATTGGACAATTACTAAAGACAGTGAAAAAAAAATAGAAGCAACGGAAAGGCGGTTTCTTGGGAGACTGCTAGGAGTATCGCGGAAGGAAAAGAAATCAAATGAGGTAGTGCTTGATGAAGCCCACGTGGGACGCCCACTGTTTAAAATGATCAGGAAACGACAATTGTTACAGTTTTTGGGACACCTGATTAGACATAATGGTCTTGAAAATCCAGTCCTCACTGGCAAAATCGAAGGCAAATGAGGCAGGGTTGGCCCAGAGCAATTTACTTAGGGAACCTAAACAAATGGGTAACAGGGAAAGATCAGGGAAACGTAGCTTTTTTAGAGAGTCCGAGCAAAGGAATGAAGGGAGAACCATGATAGCCGAAGTCTTGTTGCAGATCTGGCACTGGATGGTGATGATGTTCCAACTAGAACTTCATGTATTAATTATTATTAAACATCATGCATATTTCTACACTAGATCTCCATATATTATTATACATCATGTACATTTCCACTAGAACTTCATAATAATAGTAACAATAATAATATATTTTTACACAGACATGTATATTTCCATTAGAACTTCATATATTAAAATACAAGTATGTTTCCAGTACAGCCTTTTATATAAATATAATATTACTATAC